CACCAGGGGCAACTCTGGGTTGGCCTACCCGTACCTAAGACAATCTGAGTGTGCCCTGAGAAAGAGATATGTGCAGCTCCTATCGGGATTTGTCGGCGCATTCGGGCGGTGTTGCTGGGCTAGTTTTGACCTGTCGAATCATCTTGTTGTACCGGGATACCGAGTCTGATCGGTGGGTCCTGGGTGGAGGTCTATTCCTTCGTTGACCGTGAGAGCTTGTTATGGGCTAAGTTGGGACCCCCCTGCAGGGATTGATCTTTCGAAAGCCGTGCCCGCGGTTATGGGCAGAAGGGAATTTGTTAATGTCCGGTTGTAGATAACTTGAACCTAATTAATTAAAATGAATTAACTGCGTGTGTTGCCGTGATGGCCTCTTCTCGGCGGAGTCCGGGAAGTGGACACGGCGTTGGAGTTATGCTTGCGTAGTCTGCTCTACTTAGTTACCGCTCGCGCTTTGCCTTCTCTTCTCGCTCTCTTTTGCGGATAAGATAGCCACCATACTTGCTAGTCGCTTGCTGCAGCTCCACTCACATTACCCCCCTTCCTTACCTATTAAGCTTAAATAGTCTTGATCGCGAGGGTGCGAGATTGCTGAGTCCTTGTGGCTCACAGATTACTATTATACCAGATGCAGGGACCGATGATACTCCTCCGGATGGCGCGTTCGAGCTGAAGTGGGAGTACGACGAGGACTCTCAGCGATACTATATTTCTTTTCCTGATGATCAGTAGTGGTGCCTGCTCGGGGTTCGATTCAGGGTTTAGTCGCATGTTGGGGGTTCTTTTCTATTTTGGCGCCGTAGTCGGGCCATGAGTGTTTGTATGATGTATGCTACTTATGTACCTTGATGTGACGTGGCGAGTGTAAGCCAACTATTATATTTATTCCCCCTTTATATTTATATGTACATGGGTTGTGTGAAGATTGCCTCACTTGCGACTTATGCCTTCAATGCGATTATGCCTCTAAGTCGTGCCTCGACACGTGGGAGATATAGTCGCATCGAGGGTGTTACATAAGCCTATCATCAAAAGCCAGAAACCCCAGCCGAGCCACATACCGGGTCTGGGGCATAAACTGGTCTCACGCAATCACATGTGTCGTCGCCGTCATCTTCCACAAGTCCGTCTTCAGAGCAGATATTGAGACTTCTATCTTGTCAGGCCACGCTGCTATCGACGCCACCATGACGCCAGACAACTACCTCCTCCTGCGCGTGTCCATCACTGCGCATCGGGCGCCGAGTCTCCACTGCGCCACGCCGCCGAGATCCATCGTCATCAATGTGTAGGATGAAGCACCGCTCCACCGAAAAAACCCCGCCCACTTGTCCCTCAATCCCGTGTACGCCTCCAAAAATGGCGCCCCCAAGAAGGAAACGACACCAACGCGCCGCCGTCATCCGATCTATTGATCTAGGGTTCCCCCGGAGGTAGCGGATAGAGGTCTGGAGCTTCTCCATGGCGATGCCTTCAAGAAGGTAATGACACAAAAGAGTGCCGCCAACGCCGGTCTTGGCATCAAGCCGAGAACGAGATTTCACCCGGCTCCGCTCGAAAAACCTCCATCAAACATCGTGTACATGGGTCGCCGCCAGTATGAGCCGTCGCACATCAAGCAGGCCGCACCGGCCAGATCCGATCTGTCTAAAGGGCAAACCACGCATGGCGCCGACCCAACCACCAGGCCCTCCATGCTGCCACCGCCGATCCGAGGTCAGATGATCCGCCGCCGCCGAACGCAGCCAAGGCCGTTGCCCGAAGTAGGGCCGGCTGCTGCACCCGCCACCATCGCCGCCCTCGGCCGAGGCGGCCGCCGCGCTGCCGCCGGTCAAGGCAGGCCCGCCACGCCACCAAGGCCAGATCGGCCGTGCCATCAGATACCGCGGGGCTCCGCACCGCCCCCATGGCGCAGGAGAGAGAGAAGGCCCCTGCCACAGCCGTCAGCCTCCGGGCTATAGGCCGGCGGCGTCCTTTGGCTGCGGCGGAAGAAGGGATGGACAGACGGGGAGCTCCCGGCAGCTAGGGTTGAGATCCCGCCCGAGTCGCCCGAGCGGGGGCGACACGGGGGGTGGGGGGCGAATAAAATAAAGTATAGGATGTCTCCAATTTTGAGAATGTAGTATTAAAAGTCAATATGTCGGCGTTTCGCAAAAACAAAGCGAAGTGAGACGGGCCGGCCCCATTTTAGCAAAGGTACGTAGTAAAAGCGTCCAGATTTTGCGAGCATTTCCCTTTTAAGTTTTCTTTACCGGTTTTTGGAAGTAGTCCACCATGCGCCCGCCCGCCCCTCGTTCTGGACCCCTGCACCGGCCGCTTCGGCCCGCCTTGGCGACTGTCGTCGGACGGAGAGTGTGCTGCATATCCCTTGGTCGGGTCAACCAGTCCATGCGCATGTCACTGCGGAAAGCGCAGGGAATGGTTAAGTTTAATCGGGCGGAAGGAACCTTGCGATTCAATTTTGCCTCCCATCCCAATTTCTAAAGAGAAGAAAGGTTCTGTCTTTGACTATCTCCATCCGCGTCACGGGCAGAGGAGTTTCACAACGGTCAATTATAACTATTGCTGCATTTGAACATTTTTTAGCTAAACTGAAACTATATATGCGGCTATTTGAGCGTACACAGTTAAAAAATATAGAGACGGATGTTGGTGGATAACTTTGGAAAAAAATAGAAACAGATGTATGTGGATAATTTTGGATGGCCGATTCCTACATCCGTGTCTGTGAATTGGCCACCTATCCGCAGACGAATGTAGTGTTCGCTATGCGGGTTAGAATTGAAGATGCCCTAAATATTACTTTGTTAAGGCATCTCCAACGTTAATCCTAAAATGTCTCTGTAGATAGCCAGCTGAGCGGAGGCCCTCCAACGGTATCTCTAATCTTTCAACTATGGGTGATGGGCTCATCTGAGTGATAATGGGGCAGCCAAACAGATGAGTGGGCTATGCGGACCATCCTATCCTGATTCCCATATTCCACCCCTCGATTTGGAGACAGAGTTGAGCAGATTTCCGATCCGAACCATAAACAAATGAGGTATAACGTTGGAGCCCTAAAAGTGTTTGGTCCGTCCAATCTGAAACATATACTAGTATAAGTGTAAAATTAACATCTACGTTGAAGGCGAGTTTTATCTGACACATTCAGGAGCGTCAAAATGCCGGCATTTCGCATAAACGAAGCAAAGTGAATGCTCTGGTGGGCCGACCCACTTTAGAAAGGGCATACATGCAAATTAATAATATCTTCTGTCTAAAAAAGTTAAGCATTCAGGTTTTGCAATATTCCTCCTTTAAGTTTGTCTTATCGGTTTTAGGAAGGAGAAGGTTCCTGTCTGGTTTTCTTCTTTTTTCTTTACTCAGCTTTTGTGGGCTTCTATTTTCTTTTTTATTCTAACAAATATTTAATAATGTTCCACTTTTAAAACATTCAGAAAATTGAAAGAAGTTCAGAATACTACAAAATTGGGCCCAAGGAATAAAAGAAATAAAAAACGTATTTGTACAAAATTGTCCATTTTTTGGAATTTTTAAAAATGTTTGCCCTGAAACGTGGTAGTAATTGTTTTACAGAAATTTCAAAATATTTAAAATTATTTTTAAAAAAATTCACCAAGGCTTTTAAAAAATGTTTCCAAATTTTAGAAAAATATTTACTTTTTTAAAAACACAAACAATTCACGTTTTAAATATATAAAACCAAAAGAAAACCCAAAAACCCAAAGGAAAACAGGAAAAACGAAAATGCCAGCAGCAGGGGCGAAACGCCCCCATTGGAGCGTGGTCTCCCTCTTTTACGGACCTCTTGTTCATCATGTCTTGCCTAGGCCCGATCGTCGTCAACAGGAAGACATGCATGACGGACTCATGCTTTCCCTCCTTCCTGAGGCTGCATGCAGCAAGTTGGTTCATCGTCGGTGCATGCCTGACCGTGCCCATGCATCCACTCACGACGCACGCACGCGCCTCGCGCCTGGCACCGGCGCGCGGGGAAGGAGGCAGTTGCGCCACGCCATGGTCGCCGCCCGCGCGCTGCACCCCGATCGACCACACCCTCATGGCTAGCCGCGGCGGTATAAATATGACGCCGTCTTGCAGCTCACACAGCCCAAGGTGCAAGCTGCGAGTAGTGTAGCACACGCACGTACCAGCATCCAGTTCCAGCGACCGGAGCCGGCGAGACACCGAGGCGTCCGCGCAGCCAGCAGCCATGTCTCGCTCTGGGGCCCTCGCGGTGCTGTTGCTCCTGGTGCTCGCCGCCAGGGCGGCCGCGGCGATCAAGCCATTGGAGGAGCAGCCGCAGGGCGGCAAGTGGGCGGACCAGCTCACGGCGGGAGCGGCGATCACGCCGTCGGAGGAGCAGCCGCAGGACGGCAAACCGGCGGGCCACCTCACGGCGGGAGCGGCAATCGAGCCATCGGAGGAGCAGCCGCAGCACGGCAAGCGGGCGGACCACGTCGCGGCGAGAGCGGCGATCATGCCATCGGAGGAGCAGCCGCAGGACGGCAAGCAGGCGGGCCACCTCACGGCGAGGGCGGCGATCCAGCCATCGGAGGAGCAGCCGCAGGGCGGCATGCGGGCGGGCCACCTCACGGCTGCCAAGGGCCTGCTGGAGGAGGAGCCCGCCGCGCGGCTGGCGTACGTCCGGACGGAGGAGAAGAAGGACAGCGAGGACGCGGCGACGATGCCGTTGGAGGGGATGAAGCCCGGCGGCGGCGTGGCGATCCAGCAGGGCGGCGACCCGGGCACGGTGCCGTCGGGGAGCGGCGAGCACGCGAAGGAGGAGAGCGGCGAGCACGGCAAGGAGGGGAGCAGCAGCACCAGCAAGGAGGGGGAGAAGTCGGCCAAGAGCTGCCTGACCAAGGAGGAGTGCCACAAGAAGCGGCTGCTGTGCGGCAAGGGCTGCACCCTCTCCGCCCACGCCAAGTGCGCCGCCAAGTGCTCCAAGTCCTGCATCGCCACCTGCTAGGCGGCCCCCGCCGCCGCCGTCGACGGACGGCCGGATCCCTGAGTTCCACGGCGGCCGTCTTGATCGTCATTAGGTTGTTTTGGTGAAGGGAATAAGGGAAGGGGCACGCTGCAGCTAGCCGCATGTCTGCATGTGTGGTGTAGCGTAGCCTCTCGATATATCGTCTTCGTGTCGTCGCCGTTGGTGTAGTGTTTTGACGTGTCCCCGTGTTTGTTCGTGTGTGATTAGGGCTAATATTCGTTATGTCATTTCCATCTGTGTTTTGTTATATGTCCTTCCTGGTGAGAAATTTGGATGAAACTTGAATAAAAATTACCCCATGCATGCATGTTAACTTGTTTGCTCAATTATCAGAAAGAGGATGAGTAGCCTTCAGTCTCTCGGGTCATAAGAAAAAGCAAAGCAGAGAGCGCATGATTTTGATCTCATGTGGATAAGCCAGATAAAGCTAATGTTAACCTATGATTTAATTATAACAACCTTTTTTAACAAGAAAACAATAAGCTAATTGAGAGATGTTCTACTAGAGTGAGACGACTGACCTAGGGTGTTTGGCAAACTGAACAAGCGGAAATGCAGCATATCAAATGGTGGAAATACATCACAAACATTCACCAATCAAGAGTCAATATGTCAAAACTCTCCGCCTTTGTACATGGAGAATAGTTTTTTTTTGCGAGGACATGGAGAACAGTTCTTGTGTGCTGTCCGGCTGTTTTTGCGTGCTTGCTCCATGGACATGTTTTCTTAACGACTCCCTCCGTCCCGAATATAGGACTTTTTTTCACACTAGTGTAGATTTTAAAAATGTCTTACATTATGGGTCGGAGCCTCGGAGGGAGTAGGTACGTGCCGGCGTTTTTAATGGGGCTAATATTTTTCTAAGTGATAAGTGTCACATGTGTGGCATGAAACAATTCAGCCCTAACACATATTTTATCATTGGATTTTTTGCACGAATCTTGAAGCACAGAAGTCACCATGTCAGCCACGTGACTCGTTCGGGTTGAAACCAACTCGACTGAATGCTGCCACTACTCTGTCCCACCTTCTTTCTCCACCACCCACCCACTCGACCGCCTCCTCTTATCCTCCTTTTCACTCACCACCACCAATAGCCGTTGAGGGAGGGTGCGGCTCGCCAGGGAGTGCGGCGAGGAGACCATGGGGCGGGTGGTGGGGGTGGACGCCGACGCGGAGGTGGCGTGGCGGAGCACGACGGGTGGAGGTAGCGCGGCGGGCCCCGGATTGGTGGATGCAGGGGTGGGTGGAGGGCGCGGAGGAACACGATGCCACGAGCCTCCAACACGGGGGCAGTGGGGGTGGACGTCGGCGCGGAGATGGAAGAAGCTCCTCACCACCACCCCTGCTCTCTGTCTGACGCGGCAGCATGAGGTAGTTCCCATGGGTGCCGATGACCCTCTACTGCCCCACCCCCTCTGCTAAACCGGGCCGCCGATCCGGCGAGATGAAGGAGGGTCCACACCGCCATCCACGTTCCCTGGGCGATGCGGCGACAAGAGGTGGTTCTGTGGGTGTCATCGTCGAGGTCGCGTGGATGTAGCAGCAACATCTGGTGCCGGTGGAGACCAATTTCATTGCGGTGCGGGGAGGAGGAGGTGAAGAGGTGGACGCGTTGGACTCGGGGGTTTGCTTACGGGGGAGAAGTCGGCGGCCAAGAGCTACCTCACAAGGAAAAGTGCCTCCACTGTGTTTGATGACAATAACTCCTGGCTCCGATCCATCTTTTGGGCCGGGAAAGACAAGATAAATGGGGGACAGTGTCTAGTAGCTTGGATACCATCTGCCACCCTTACCTCTATGGAGGATTGGGGGTGAAAAATCTCAAGTTGCAAGCTCTCGTCCTCCGGATGTGCTGGGAGTGGCTCAAGCGAACAGACGATAAACGGCCGTGGCAAGGCCTGAAGTTGGTTTCTGACAGCAATTCCAGGGAAGTACTCGACAGTCTCGTCTCCATCTCGGTTGGTGACGAGAAGAAGACTCTGTTTAGGCACGACCGCTGGATCCATGCGCGCGCGGTGGTTGAGATAGCCCCGACTATCGCTGCCCTTGTACCCACGCGCATCTAGAATATGCGTAAGGTGCACCAGGCGATGGGGAGTAGAAGGTGGGAGAGGGATATCCCAGAAGGGCTAAATTTCACAGCCCATATGCAACCGTACCTACTTCAGCATGCCACATCCCTCGTGGAAACAGAGGAGGCGCCGCCCGATATCTTCACATGGCCGCCCACCAAGTCGGGTGCTTATTCGGCGAACTCCACCTACAAGAGATTGTGCATGGGCCTTACCTCCTCACAGCCGGTTGCTCTCATATGGAAGACATGGGCGCCGTTGAAGCGCAAGATTTCCCTTGGTTGACCTTGCAGTACATAGTGTGGACCTCGGACCGACGGGCTCGACATGGATTACAGGACGAGACCTCCCCTTGCTTCACTTGTCTCCAAGAAGAGGACATAGTCGACCATATCTTAATCCAATGCCAGTATGCTACAGAGGTGTGGCACCTGATCCTAAGCCACTTCAGCCTGGTCATCGCTGCCCCGCCTCGGCACTGCACCCCTGTACCATTGTGGGAGCGAGTCAGAAGCACCCTTCACAGAAGCGAGAGGAAAGATTTTGACTCCCTGTTCATGGTGACGACTTGGGCAATCTGGAAGTAGCAGAACGCGAGGGTCTTTAGAAGGGCTGATCAACAACTGCAACCCGTGTAACTGAAGGCACAAATCATCGACAAACCAAGGATTGGAGGGCCGCCGGAGCAGGAGGTCTAATTTAGTTAGTGAGTGAGTAGCTTTAGTGTAATTTCAGGTGTCGGTGTAGGTATCTGATTGAGCCCTGTGCGCAGGTGGTTCGATCTTCTTGTAAATTGCTTCGCTCTCTTCTATAAAAAATACGATACGTCTTTGGCATATTCTCAAAAAATAAGGAAATGTGCCACAAGAACGCCCACGCGGAGTGCGCCGCCAAGTGCTCCAAGTCCTGCATCGCCACCTGCTAGGCGTCCCCCCACCGCCGCCGTCAACAGTCTTGATCATCGATCTTTAGGTTGTTGTGGTGAAGGGAATAAGGGAAGGAGCAATCTGCAGCTGCATGCATATCTTCTGTGGTGTAGTGTAGCCTCTCGATCGTCTTCGCGTCGTTGCCGTTGGTGATACATTTTCCTGTTTTACGTTACTTTGCATTATTTGCTAGTCGTTGTTTAATTGGACGCGGAAACAGTGGAAAACTTAGTATCCCTGATATAATTATTCTGCACCACGGTTTATACAATGATAACACTTTTAGTATGAGCGGTATTATTGCTAGACGGTTAAGTATGAACCGTACTAAGGGTCCCATCTTTAGAGGCGTCTATGCCACATGCCTAGCTGCACATTTTAACATACCTATTAGGCATGCTGAGAAGGAAGAAAAGGTGCTGCCCCATGTTTATCTAGATCATAAAAGTATGGTGGCACATGATGTTATTGTTAAGAATAGGGCAGGAGAGGTTAAGTATCAATTGTTCTTTAACAAACATCATCCTGAGACTATTATCCTGCCTGCTCCTTCTTTGTTTAATTTTGTAGGACCCTACCTCGTTACGTGGGCTGCCGTCCAAGATTACAAGAATCCTGCACCAGCCCCGGAACAGGAACCACAAGATGAGCCTCCACGACAATCTGTTTATTCTTGGGATTCAGAGATGACTGTCATCCAGTGGCAGTCAGAGTCTTCTTCTTCATCATAGTATGATCCCAACTATTCCTCCTCATCACAGTACGACCCCAACAACTATTATTATGGATATCCGCCAGGCCAGCCGTGGCCATATACCAACTTAGGCCAAAAGCCTAAGCTTGGGGGAGTACGTATTTCTCACCGACATTACATTTATGTTCACACACACTCATTGCTAGATGTCGGTGCTCATACTTTTTCACTGTAATATCCATGCTAAGTTATTTTATTTTTCCTGCTTTTTTCGTGTGTGTTTATTAAACCTTAAGAAAAACAAAAGAATTAGTAGTAGTAGTAGTTATTTTTTTGCTGTAGTAGTAATAATTAAAAAGAAAACGCAAAAATATTTCTCGTTCTTCTTTTGCTTGTTGGGAGCTTTCCCGTGTAAATAGTTTTATTTCTTTTCTTTTCTTTGGGGGTCAGAAGGAGAAGACCATAATTAAATTGTTGAAGTGGCTCTTATATGCATTATTGTTGATTTAACTAGAGCCCATATTGCCTTGTCTTCTCCTGTTTATTATATGCTCGGAGGTTCCAGCTTAGTCCAATGCACGTACACTCTTATTATTATTCATACCATTCGGTCGTGCAAGTGAAAGGCAATTATGATGATATATGATGGACTGACTGAGATGAGAGAAGCTGGTATGAACTCGACCTCTTTTGTTTTTGTAAATATGATGAGTCCCTCGTTCTTGATTCAGCTTATTATGAATAAACATGTTTGCAATGACAATTAGAGATCATAGTTGCTTGTGCCATGCTTGATTAGCTATGAGTTATAATGATTTATCTTGTGTGTCAACATGCTATTGCGATGATTATGATATGGTATGATGGGGTGGTATCCTCTTTTGAATGATTTAAGTGACTTGACTTGGCACATGTTCACGCATGTAGTTGAAACAAAATCAACATAGCCTTCACGATATTTATGTTCATGGTGGATTATATCCTACTCATGCTTGCATCCAATGTTTATTAATTTTAATGCATGTACATGGATGTTGTCGCTCTCTAGTTGGTTGGTTCCCAGTCTTTTGCTAGCCTTCACTTGTACTAAGCGGGAATACTGCTTGTGCATCCAATCCCTTAAACCCCAAAGTTATTCCAGATGAGTCCACTATACCTTTCTATATGCGGTATCTACCTGCCGTTTCAAGTAAATTTGTATGTGCCAAACTCTAAACCTTCAAATAAACATTCTGTTTTGTATGCTCGAATAGCTCATGTATCAACCAAGGTTGTCCTTATCTT